ACTTTACCATTGGTCTTTTAACTTCTTTCTCCAATCCTGTAATGTCAACTCTCTGCTTGGAGGCCTTTTTAAGACTACTCTCAACAAGTTCATCATCAAACTTCTTTCTCTTTATGGAGCGAGATGAACTCCGGCGAGGAGTGCCACGCCCTTGTCTGGAAATCGGTGCGCCTGGATTTGTGGTTCGCCCAGATGGTCGTGGAACAGGCACTGGCGGATTAGGCAGAGTTGTAGGAGGCAAGGAGGCCATTGTTTGTCAGTCTGTCTTGACAAAATTTTGAAACAATATATTATTGAATGAATAGCTAAGTAGCAGGGTTGTCAGAAAGTTTTGAAGTAGATGGCTGAGTTGTCAAAGTAAGCGGCCAGTCCAGGGATATTTTATTTAACAAATGCCATCCGTAAAGAAATGCCAAGCAGAGTAGCCGGCCACTTTTGACAACCCTGCACTAGTCTTTTCTGTATTAGTTCTTTCGCAAAAATCCTTTTAGTACAAGTTCACCCTTTGCTGGTCATTATCAGAAAACATACTTTTAATAATAACAGCTATCTGTTTGAATACCATGAAAATACACTGTTTTGGACAAAGTTCAAACATATGAAAATTGTTTGGTTACTCAGTGACAAAAAACAAATGCATGCTTAACACAAATCGTTGCATCTCAGCGCAGAGTGTCAGTTTACTTTTATCTCGCTAAGAATAAACAGAAAAGTAGACTGTAATATCTGCTAGCAGGGATTCCGTAATAAGAAGGATGGAAGTTCGATAGAAAGTTCCATGACTTCCAGTCTTCCATACGCTTGACTTCCGAATTCAACTTGAAACCTTCTTCACACATTCACAATTGCACTGTATAAAAACCTGAAAGGACCGAAAAAACAAATGACAAGGAACAAGCTAACATATGTAGGTAAGTTAAGATATTAATTAAAACAACGTAGGTTGGTACCTTTAATCCTTTGGTGATTTTCTTTTCGAGAAGCAAATTAAGTTTAGTTTAGAGTGTATCACGCCACTTTGATGTGTTCTATAGGGAAAAATAAGCGAGGGAAGCGAAGCGACATTCATTCACCGGCGGCGGCCATATTGAAACTACGCTCGCTGTGATTCATGGGGCGGTTTTGTAGGAGATGAAACAGGACAACCAAGATTTTTGTTCAGGGGAATACCACAGATGGTTCCAGCTAACATACGTTTTTGTACTGGAAATTATAGAGTTTGCATGGTAAGTATAATAAAAACTTACATCAAATAATCAACTAAATCGGGTAAAAGTTATGTTAAGTTTAAATCACTTTAAAGCGTAATATTTCACTACCAGGTCAGATGATGTTATCTTTTTCAAATTATGCAGTATGCTGAAACTTTGTAGAAGACAATGACATCATTTATACTTTACTGATAACTTTTCCCATTGAAGTTCATTTACTTGATGTAGGTTGTATTTGTTGACCGGGTCGATTTTTGCTTGTTTTGCTTTCTGGTCATTGATATCCAGGGGTAATGCAAAAAAAAGAGTTTCCAGATTTTAGATCTACAGAGGTTGGCATCTCTAAACAGATATTTATTGTTGGATGTTGGTTTACCTGTACTGTAATTGACTCCAATAAGCACAAAATTATATTAAATGTGATTGATTAAATTAGTTTCCAATGCGAACAATGGACTGAGGTCTGGACAGGAAAAATCGGCACAAAAATTGGTTCCTGTAAATTACGAGAAAAACCACAGATCCACAAGAATAAATTGCCACACAATAAAATGGTGACAAGTATACTTAGCTTGAATTTTGGCCATTCCCTCGAGTCAAACACTCTGACTCAAGGGGACGGCTGAAATTTAGGCTTATGTATATTAACTAGATTTACAGCAGCTTTCGCTAATTGTAATATAGTACACTTTATAAAGCTGAGCCCCTTGTAAACAAGCAAGCACAAAAAGCACCAAAAATTAATGCCAAGAATTTGTTGAAGACAATATTAATTTTGAATTTGAGCTGGTCCTTAGGGCAAGCAGTGCTCTATTTTATTATCTATAATCCTGGACAAAAGTCCTTGTGACAGTACTGCAATATATATGCATATTTTTCTGTCATTTCTCGGTTCCGTCTTAAAAGAGTGATCATTTTCAAAATTTTCTTGCACTTCTCCCTCCCCCCATCCTATACAAAGTTGAAACTTGGAAAAAATTCTGGATACACGCGTCCAACATTGTTTGTGGGGTGAGGGGAGGGGTTGGACCTGTGTGAATTGGAAAACGCCCCAGAAACGCAAAAGTGTCCCAAGGCTTTAGTCCATGATTGTAGTTAGAAGATGACCTGCCAGGTGGTCATAATTGCCCATTGGGCAAGTGAAAGCATGAATGGTTATTTACCCAAAAGGAAAATCTAATAGTCTGGATAACTAAATCAGATGTTTTTTTCAGATGCTTTGACTGAGAAAACTTTTTTGGGATTATTCTTGGATACTGAAGATAGTCGCATACATGGAGGTTTGACTTTCAATTAATTAACCTTTAAGCCCCAGTATCCAAATACAAACTCTCCAGACTGATCTCCATACATTTCCTGTAAGAATTGGTTAAGAGAATTTGCTTGTAGATCAAAGCTTTTCCCATCAGGTGATTAATTTATTGATTCTCACAACATTTGCCCTTGATTATGTATTGATTTTGTTGGTAGAAAATTGACTTTGGTCACTCTTGGGACTTGAAGGGTTAACCTAAAAATTTGCTTTTATTATTATTCAGGGGATTAGACAGGCTCTTAAAATAATCTCACAGGAGTAAGATATAGCACAATCTACCTTATTTATTTAATTCAGTTATCGTTAATGCATGAGGCACGACTCCATGGGTACCTGAAGACGACGTTTTTGACATGTTTCCATCAAATCGTCAGTTTTTCAACAAAATCGACACGTATCAAGAATTGTTTTGCCTAGAAACGCTACTACTAGCAAGCTTGACCAACCATGACAGCAAAGGTGGAAATAAAAAAATAACAAAGCAACAGGTTTAATAAGCAAAACAAAAACTGAATATGCAGCACACTTTTTGGAAGATTCCTTTGTCATCATTGCACAACTACATGCAATGTTGTCAATCTTGATCAGAAAGGCTTTGCGATCTTCACTATGATCTACAAGATTGTCATGTTATCAAAAGCGATCATTGCAACTACGATTTCATAAGAGACTCATGCATTATAATTGCATCTTTGTTAGGTCATAAAATTTCAGCCCTTTAATTAGGTTCCCAAGAGGATCCAATTTCCTGTTGAAAGTGCAATGAACCCTGGCCTAAAGGATTCCACTTTTGTTTTATTTCACACAAGCGAGGATAGTTCACTCCATAAAAATTGTGGCCCCAGTTCTTAAGATGACGGTCCATGTAGTTCACATAGCTACCTAGCGCACATCCAGAGTTCTTAACAGTTTCATATGCTGATGTTGCAAATCTTTCAACTTCCTCTCTTTGCTCATGATCATGAAAGCGGCCGTACGTATAAAAACTGTACTGCGCTGAACGAAAAGGGAAAGCTGTAGCTGTCGCAGAATACTGTGTAATATCACCACCCATGTGAACAAATTCTAACAGGCATTCTGGTGGGATCTCAATGTAGGCAAAATATTTGGCCAACAATGGTGGAAGGGAATCAATCATGGTACCCTTGACATAAATCGGTTCTACTTCATGATGAACAAAGCCATGGCGCTTGCTGTACTCAGTGGTAAACTCCAGGTAGGATGCAAACATCTGAGGTGGTGATTCTGATCCTGGGTGGAGAGCCTCAAGACTTGCTTTGACCTTGTCCTCATGGATATCTGAGTAGACAGCATCAAGAGTGAGAGTTTTCTTACCAAAGTAGCCATGAATGGCCATGTCAAGGTTCAGCTCTTTTGGGAAGCTGTTCAAACTCTTGCCAACTGAATTAAAACCCTGCTCACTGTCTTCTGCAGTGTCATAAGTGATTCTACTCCAGATGAACTGATTTGGTCGTGGAGATAACTCTAAAGTAACATCAACCAAGACTCCAAAGTTTCCACCCCCGCATCCTTTCAAAGCCCAAAACAGGTCTTGATTCTCCGTGGCTGATGCTTTGACCAGATCTTTCCCATCAGCAGTTACCATGGTGAAAGCCAAAGCCTTGTCACATGCCAACCCACCATACGCCCGTGAAAGCATACTGTATCCACCCCCGAGAATATACCCACCTATACCAACACAAGGAACGCACCCTCCCACGGCAACATAACTTGTTTGATCAACAGCGGAATACACATCCCCCCAGCACGCTCCGGCTTGAGCAGTAACCGTGTTTCCTTTGAGCTCTACTTTACTCATATTCTTAAGAGAGATTACAAACCCCTTTGCATCCGTACTGGAGTAGCCAGCGAAACTGTGCCCCCCCGACTTGACAGCTACGCGAACGCCAGTCTTCGTTGCTACCTGCAGACAACGTTTGATGTCATCAGTGTTGTTAGGGAAGGCAACAAAGGGTGGATGTTCGTAGCTATAGGCTGGGTTGTAAATCTCCACAGCATCTTTGTAAAGCTCTGGTTGGTCAGGAGTTACTGCAATATCTTTCAACTGATCAAGTGCATCTTCAGCTGCGCCCGTTCCGTGTATCGTCCTAATGGCTGCTACTCTGTTCAGGAAATTTTTCTGTTGGAATCCATTGCATATCAAACGATAATTTCTGAGCAAATACATACTGCGAGGCCGTGCTGCTCTGCTTTCGTTTTTCGTCGTACAACTTCCGCGTTCAATATAGTACTTAGTGTAACGCTTTCCTGTAATGTCCCTGTCTCTAATCACGCCGAGGGGCAACACGGGAAGGTTTACCCACTGGGGAACCACAAAGCAATGATATCTCTCAACAACAAAAGCAACAACATTTATTGGCATTTCAATGAGTAGATCTCAGTGACATCTCAGTGATCTCTCATCTCAAGACTTTCAATTTTATTAATCAACATCTAACCTAGCCTCCCCGCAGACGTCCTTTGGGGTTCGTTTGCAACATATTCATTTCTCCCCCACTTCTCCGTGGGGGAGAAATGAATACGTGACAAACGAAAGGACGTTTGCAAGGGGGCTAGTCCACCTCAGTCTGCTGCGCAGCTGTTTTTTTTTTCACGCAACGCTCCTCTACACAAACGGCTGCTGAGAATTGTGGGGAGGAGCGTTGCGTGACTGCACTGAAAAACGGCTACAGTATGTAGTAGACTACATCCAACTGGCTCCTTTTGAGAAACGAATAAGGTCTTACAGGATAAGTCTGAAATTTCATCTGCCTTTTTGCCCTGATCATTTAGCATCTCAGCTCGCGAACACCTTCCTTGTTTCTT